GATGAGGTCTAGTGTATTCTCCAGTCTAGTAGGCTCTATTATTTGTTGGTTTAAATTGAATTTTGTGCAGAGATTTAAAAGCTCGCGTGAGTGTGAGTTTTCATCAGAGCTGCCTCCTGGTGTTATTACTGCAACAATATTATTTGCTATATTCCTCCATTTTAGGTGCCTTAAGTTGAAATCCCCCAGGAGCAAGATGTTGGGTGCAGGAGCTGGAAGGTTTTCCAGACAGTGGTCAATTTTTAACAGCTGTTCCTGGAATTGCTGGGATGTTGCATCCGGAGGCTTGTAGACTATCACAATGACTAGGTTTTGGTTCTCGACCTTTACTGCTAAAACTTCCACTACATCATTTGAGGCATTTAGCAGTTCTGTGCAAACAAGTGACTCTGCAATGTACAGGCCAACCCCCCCCTTTTGCCTGTTCACTCTGTCACATCTGTATAGGTTGTAACCTGGGATCCATATTTCGTTGTCCAAGTGATCCTTTATGTGGGTCTCAGTGAAAGCCGCGAACATTGCCTTTGCCTCTGCAAGCAGTCCACGGATGAAAGGTATTTTGTTGTTTGTTGCTGGCTTTAGACCCTGTATATTTGCAAAGAAGAATGTTATCGGACTGGTGGTATTGTTGGTACTGGGGGGGGATTTTTTTTCCGGCATTAGTATCTGTATCTGTTGGTTTGGAGTGGAGGCCATCGACTGTGGTTCCACTCCAGGAATGACTGGATTTGGTGTACGATTTCTGCCATTTCCTGCCAGTTTTTTTTCCTTCCTGGCACTAAAAAACCTCTCCCTCTTGAGTGGCTGTGGCTACCCAGGTTTTCCCATGGCCTGGATGTTTTGTATCTTTTTGTCCCCTTTAGATGGTATGCCTGGCAATTTAAGTTATAGCACAGTCTTTCCTGTACTGAAGAGGTACACAGTTCAGGGTGAAAAAGCTTACAGGAAGGGAGTTTGCATTTTCCTGTTGTCATATGGGCATGGCATTTCCTAGGGTGGTTATAGTTGCACGTCCCATCTGTTTTTCCAGATTTCCCATGCCAGCAGATACCGAGTGCATAGTATGTGCACAGGCTTGGTTTCCGTTTGCCTTGGGTTTCTGTGACTGTATTCCCTGTTGGTGCATGTTTCCCTGTCTTACTTCTATCCTCCCTAGCACCAACAATGGAGCTCCCACCAGTTGTTTTTGGTAATATATCCTCACTATTGCTAGTGGAGTCCTCTTGTTTGCTATTTCCTGCGGTATTTCTAGTTTGCAATATTGGTTTTATCTTATCTTTGACTACACTTGTTTCCCTACTATGGCTCCTGTCCCCTATGAGGTCATTTATATGTATTCCTTCCTGCGTATAATTCCCGACTACCTGGACAAAATCTCCAGCTTCACCATTACTGTCTCCCAGGACAGCATCTCCAGCTTCCCCATTACTGTCTCCCAGGACAGCATCTCCAGCTTCACCATTACTGTCTCCCAGGGCAGCACCTCTAGCTTCACCATTACTGTCTCCCAGGACAGCACCTCCAGCTTCCCCATTACTGTCTCCCAGGACAGCACTATCAGCCCCCCATTTACTGACTACCAGGACATCATCTCCAGCCTTACAGTTTCTGACTACATGGCCAGTATCAAGGGCAGTACCATTCAGCCCGGACTTTTTATGTTCCCATCTGTTGTAGAGCATAATATACAAGTCAAAAAAATTCTGTCATAAATATAACGATGTAGATGGTGAGGTGGTCATGTTTTACCATCTCTTGTAATGAAAAACAGCCAGGTGGCATCAACGATGCCTCCACATCTTTGAACACTTGGGCAGATCTATTAGAACAATAGGCAATTGAGTTAACCCTTATTTAGTGCCATATGCCAATATTATGAAGTCACAGACCACACAGACATGAAATCATCCACTATGTTTTCTAGTGATGCGATACCATTGAGCTGGCAACAGTAGTATTTCTCTACACTATTAGATGTATGACCCTAGTGGGTTTAGCACTTCTTTTGATTAATAATAATAATACACCATTAGTGATGAGCCTCACCTGTGTAATAATGAATTATCAGTAGATATTTCATTTCTAGTTGTATATTTTATGTTGTTTTTATTCTTTATTCTTTTCTTTTTATCAATTATGTTAAGTTGATGTTTAGCATGCAGTGGACCCCCAACTTACGATGGCCTCAACCTAGATAAAACCGACTTATGATGCTTGTCAGCGTAAAAATTTGACTCCGAGCTACGTTGAAAAACTTGACTTGCATCATTCGTCCCAAACGTGGCCGTCTGGTCCGTCTGGCCTGAGTGCCTCAGCTTGAGCAAGTGTGACATTGTTTACAAGCCAGGGCAGACGGTTGCACACATACATTCGATAAATTTTGTATTATTCCAGTGATTTTAGTGCTTGTAACTGCTAAATAAGCCACCATGGCCCCAAAGAAAGCTTCTAGTGCCAACCCTGTGGTAAAAAGGGTGAGAAATACTATCGAAATACAGTACTATCGTACCACGGTCAGCTGTACTACTCGAAGATGTGGAGAGACTGTTGTTGGTGTGGCTTATCGAGAATACCGAGAAACAACCCCAGAGGGTTAGCCACCCAGGATAACCCAAGAAAGTCAGTATGTCATCGAGGACTGTCTAACTTATTTCCATTGGGGTCTTTAATCTTGTCACCCAGGATGCAGCCCACACCAGTCGACTAGCATTCAGGTGAACAGGAAAAAATGCCTGGAACTAGTGCTCATATTGGTGAATTTAAGGCCAGCAAAGGTTGGTTTGAGAGATTTAAGAATCATAGTGGCATACAGAGTGATAAGGCCTGTTCTGGAAGAAAATGCCAAACAGGACCTACATTACTGAGGAGGAAAAGGCACTCTGAGGACAGTGTCTCATCACTCATCACCACATCTTCAATAAAGGTAAGTGTCATTTATTCTTCATTTAGTGCACTAGTACATGCACAGTATATATTGTGCATGTATCCTTCTTTTTGTGTGTAGGAAAATGTATATTTCATGTGGTGAAAATTTTTTTTTTTCATACTTTTGGGTGTCTTGAACAGATTAATTTGATTTCCATTATTTCTTATGGGGAAAATTAATTCGACTTGCAATAATTTCATCTTACGATGTGCTCTCTGGAACAGATTAATATCGTAAGCAGGGGGTCCACTGTATTTTAAAATCTGATTCTTGTAGTTAATTTTCTTTGATCATGTACAATGCCTGATGATGGAGTGAGCTAACTCTGAAACTAGTTGTGAATTAAGGATGTTACAAGTAGCAGTTCTGGTTTTCATCTTCCTTATAAGACTTTGTTTCCCAAGGAACTCTACTGTTGCCAATATACTGTGACCCGAAAAAGAAGGAAGACTTTCACCATCACTTTATCACTGTCTTGCCAGAGGGTGCACCAATACAATAGTTCAGATGCCCCCTCTAAACTGCAAATATCTCCACCCCCTCCTTCAGAGTACAGGCACTGTACTCCCTACCTCCAGGACTGGAGTCCAGTTAACTGGTTTCCCTGAATCCCTTCATAAATGTTACCTTGCTTGCACTCTAACAACACGTTATGTTATAAAACCCATTTGCCTCCACTCCTCTCTATAACACACTGACACATGCCTGCTGGATGTCCAAGCCCCTCACATTCAAAACTTTCTTTGCCCTCTTCCTCCAACTTTTCCTAGGGTCACCTCTGCCCTGCCTTCCCACCATTACAGATTATACATCCTCCAACTCATTCTGTTTTGCTCCATCCTCTCTAAATATCTCAGCAGCACCTCTTCAGCCCTTTGGATAATACTTTTAGTAACTCTGCACCTCCTAACCTCCAAACTACGAATTCTCTGCATAATATTTACATAGCACATTGCCCTCGGACATGACATCTCCATTGTCTTCAGCCTCTTCTCCGCAACATTCACAACCCATGCTTCACACCCAAATATGAATGTTGGTACAGTACTACTACATTCTCATTCACTTCCCTTTTTGCTTCCATGGATAATGTTCTTTGTTCACAGATGCCTCATTGTACCACCCACTTTTTTTTCATAATCAGTATAGCCTCTCCTCATTTAATGATGGAGTTCTGTTCCTAAGACCATGTCGGTAAACAAATTTGTCGCTAAGTGAGGAGCATCCATCTTTGATATTGTTTTAATATCACCTTTGCACTATTTATAGCATTTCTGGTATATTATTAAATGTTTATACAGTAGTGTACTGTACGTATATTGTAATAAATAGAAGAAATCAGCTCTGATATACATTATTTAAGTATGCTTACTGGTCAGAGAACCCATCGTAAGTCCGAGTCGTCGGTAAATGAGTATGTCACTAAGTGAGGAAAGGCTGTATTATGGTTCACCTCTTTCATAGACCCATTTGCAGACCTGTCCACTCCCGAACATCTGTATTCAATCTGATACCCAATCTTTCATTACCTAAATTTTTCGTTACTCTCATCATCTTGCTCTTTCCTTTGTTCACTTTTAATTTCCATGTTTTATATATTGTCCCAAATTCATCCACCAATAATTCAGTATACTGTTTTATATTTATTTAAGTTTTTAAAGGGTTATCTATACTAATGTTAGTTTTTACCAACAAGAAGAGTAGATTAAAATTTAAAATTTCCCTTCACCTAAAATGTTAAGAATGAAGTGTATAACATGTACAATGTTTATTTATTGTATTATTCTAGGAATTGATAGGGGAGATCATTATACTACAGTGGACCCCCGGTTTACGATATTATTTCATTCCAGAAGTAAGTTCAGGTGCCATTACTGAACGAATTTGTTCCCATAAGGAATATTGTGAATTAGATTAGTCCATTTCAGACCCCCAAACATACACGTACAAACGCACTTACATAAATACACTTACATAATTGGTCGCATTGGGAGGTGATCGTAAAGCGGGGGTCCACTGTATTTTTAATGTACAGTACTGTACAATAATGTACATATTTTAATTCTGATTAATTATTAAGTGTGTATATAACAGGCTGTGTCAGCTCTCTAATGTGGCTCCGGTAGATTTGCCTCCGGCCAAAACTGGGCATGCAGCCCCACTGGATAAAAAGAGAGAGTTCATGTCAGTGTTTCCAGATATTGTCCGTGACTTGACAGAGGTTGGCACCCACTCTGATATTCCAGATGCCCAGAAATGGTATGCTAAGGTAAGAATTGGTAAAGTATTATTTAAATACTTTTGATTCTGTTGTAACAATGTAAAAATATATATGTTACCTTATAGTTTTTACCTTGTGTATACATTTTTTAAAAATTGATCAGGCATTAAGTCAATAAGATTTTCATTTGCAGCACAGTGCTGCATTTATTATGTTATTGCATTTTAATACAGTACCTCTGTTTGGTTTTGTAGTAGTTTTTGTTCTAGTTTCTAGCTAACAAAACATACGAGAAAACAAAAAAACTAATGATTCAGGCCTTTGATTCATTACATGTCCTTGTTTTTTGCATTCCAAAATGTGTCGTATCTTCAGCAGACACAAAACATAAACTTTCAGTCCCTAACCATGCTGGTGATCAAGACAGTGAGCTTGCAGACTCCTAATTGTGCTTTGCAGTTCAGAACCTTTTTAATGCCCTTTAGACAGTTTCCATTTTTCTATCATTACCTAGCTGGATGACTGCCAGTAGAACAACAACCTAGCTGGTTGATTGGCTTATGTATCTGAACTGGAAAGTGAGTTGGTAATAAATTATTTCAGATGAAAATTTGGTCAAGCAAGCACTCACTGCAATAAAATATGTTTAGGGAAATGAGAGTGCATAATTTGTGACAAAGCAGCTAAATATTGATGCTGCCAGGTGAATAATTTTCTGTAGATATTGTAAAGGGGGAAATAGCCAAGGGAAATCTAGCATTGAAGAATACAAGGTAAATATTAAAGTACAGTGGAACCCAGAGTTTCCGCCATAATCCGTTCCAGGAGCTAGGTCTAAAGTAGAAACGGCCTAAAGTCGAAGCAATATTTCCCATAAGAAATAATGTAAATCCAATTAACCCTTTGACTGTTGAGGTCGTATATATACGTCTTACGAGGTACCGTGTTTGACGTATATGTACTCATAAATTCTAGCGGCTTCAAATCAAGCAGGAGAAAGCTGGTAGGCCCACATGTGAGAGAATGGGTCTGTGCGGTCAGTGTGCATGATATAAAAAAAATCCTGGAGCATGCAGTGCATAATGAGAAAAAAAAAAACCGTGTTTTTTTTTAATTAAAATGCCGACTTTGCGGTCTATTTTTGTATAGTGTTTATGGTTGTATTCTCGTTTTCTTGGTCTCATTTGATAGAATGGAAAACATATTATAGAAATAGAGGTGATTTTGATTGATTTTACTAAAAAAGAACCTGGAAATGGAGCTCAAAGTAGGGAAATGTTTGATTTTTGCCAATGTTCAAAAGTAAACAAATGATGTCATTGTCCAATAAATGTCCAACTAGCCATTCTAATATGCAGTCATGAATGGGTTGATGTTATTTATACAATTATTACTGTTTTGCAGTAGTCTGCATAACAGTAAATCTTCTATTTTTTGTTTGAATAAAAATTCAAAATAGAAAGCAAGAGTAATATCAGAGGGACTTGGAGACGTGACTGATGAACAAAGAAAATGTTATTTTAGAGCCAGGAATGTCTGCATTATTCATTCTGGACCTTATTTTGAAATTGTCATATTTTTCAATTTTCGTGAAATTGGCCAAATTGCAAATTTCTGACCACGTTATTGGGTAGTTGAAATCGGTAAATGGGCAGTTCCTTGTACTCAGTCGATAGAAAAAATGGAGTTCTAAAGAAATAGCTATGAGTTTGGTCGACTGGAACAATGGAATTAGCCGAAAATAGGGCTCAAATTGGGCGAAATCGCCAATTTGTAAATATTGCCGAGGTCGCTAACTTCTCAGGAGCGTAATTCCGTCAGCTTTCCATCAAATTTTGTGTTTTTGGTGTCATTACAATCGGGAAGAGATTCTATCGCATCATAAGAAAAAAATTTTTTTTTTTAAATTTTGCGACACCAGGAGACACTTCAGGATTGGGGGTTGTGACAGTCAAGGGGTTAATTTATTCCACCCAAAAATACTGACAAAAAAATCATTTTTTTAAAGAATAAATACTATAGTTTTACATACAGAAAACCATGAGAAATAAATATAAAGCACCAATTTCAATGGATAAATGAACATTTAAATCAGTTTTACCTTTATTGAAGACTCTTGTTGGTGTATGGGAAGGCAGGACAAGTTAGTCCTTCAATATGACACTAATATCAACTCTACGGCTTATTTATCCATCATAATTCATCTAATAGGACATAATAAACAATAACAACACTGTGACTAGCCAAGGATTCGAACCCATGATGCTTTGGCCTGCCTCATGGAGGGCAAAAACTCATGACACCTTAATCCACTGGACCATACAGTCCTTAAGAGTAGAGCATCCAGCGGAACTGGATGTTGTACTAGTTACCCAAGGACATACGATGGTGTGGATGACGAGGCTAATTTCATTCTAGTCCATTTGGTGTACTTGTACACCAAACAGGATACCAAACAGGTGTACTAGTACACCTACCTCTGAAGAACTTCAAGAGTTTGACTCTCAGAGCCCGGCCATGGGCCAGGCTCGTCTGGTTAGCCTAGCTGACATTATTGGCATACTATCATATTTAGAAAGCTCCTGGTTATGCAGAGTATTTTGGGTGACTTAGGTTAATCTTATTTCCCTGGCTGTGACTAATAACAGTCATACCCTTCAAAACTAAATTCCTCTATGATGGTAAATTGTAACTCCAGCCTGTCATAACTCAAGGGACCACTGTATAGGATTAGATCTGAAGGTCCTGAGAGTGCTGTAGGCTGATTGTTGTAAATCATCATAATCATTACCATCATCATCTCTCACTCATCATTTTATGAAAAGTTTTACATTTTTTTTCAGGTGTTGCAGTATAATGCAGTTGGAGGCAAAATGAACCGAGGATTAGCAGTATCATTATCTTTTAAGCTGCTGGCTGCTCCAGATCTTGTAACTCCAGAAAACATACGGTTGGCATATATTCTTGGTTGGTGCATTGAACTGGTGAGTTTGATATGTCTCTGGACTGTTTGAAAACTGATTGTTGATAACTGACTTTCATATTTTTTTAATAATATTGTATTTTCATACTGGTGCTGTACCTGCTCAAACATTAATGCTGGTTACTCTTACTTAGAGGAAAAGTATGATTTAATTTTGGTCCATGTGGATCCCAATATACCTTTTTTTATGGAAAAACCTTGAAAAATTGAAACACTATGCAGTAAATTTTGAGGGCTTCATCTGATTGGCTTCATCCAATCAGATAATGTAAATTGTGAGTGGCTTCACACTTAATGTGCTGGTGTATTTTAGGATATTTATTGGTTTCTGTGAGGTAAGAGAATACCTCTTCAGTTTGGCTTGAAAGCTAGTGTTTCTAACTGGAAGATTTGCATTAGTTTTGGGCTGTGTATGTCCTAATTTACCATTTTTATTGAAGAGATTGAGATGTTATTGTCCATGTGGTAGCTTGTGAAGACCTCTTCTGATTCACTTTAAATCTTCATTGCTAATATTTAATCACATTAGAAACTTGTGGTGCACTCTGCACTATTCCTTTAGCATGCATTGATTTATACCAGGCTTAGGTTGTGTAATACAAGGATACCTTCTCTAATTGTGCAGCAACTAAAATACATTTAGGTACAGTGAACCCTATTTTAAGTACTGAACTTGAAGTATGAATTTTATTATTAGCTTCATAGTTTTTTATTTTTTTTAACACATTGGCTGTTTCCCACCTAGGCAGGATGACCCAAAAAGAAAGAAAAAAAAACTTTCATCATCATTCAACACTTTCACCATCATTCATACATAATCACTGTCTTTGCAGAGGCGCTCAGATATGATGGCTTAGACGTCACTCCAAACTACCAATATCCCGAATCCCTCCTTTAAAGTGCAGGCATTGTACCTCCCATTTCCAGGACTCAAGTCTGGCTAACTGGTTTCCCTGAATCTCTTAACAAAATATTACCCTGCTCTCACTCCAACAGCTCATCAGGTCCCAAAAACCATTCGTCTCCATTCAGTCATATCTAACACACTCCTAACACAGCTCCTTGCCCACAAAACCTCCTTTACCCCGTCTCTCCAACCTTTTCGGGGACAACCCCTACCCTGCCTTCCTTCTACAGATTTATATGCTCTCCAAGTCATTCTACTTCATTCCTTTCTCTAAATGACCAAACCACCTCAACAGCCTCTCTTCAGCCCTCTGACTTTTAGTAACTCCACACCACCTAATTTCTACACTACGAATTCTCTGCATAATATTTACACCACACATTGCCCTTAGACAGGACATCTCTGTTGCCTCCAGCTACCACCTAACTGCAGCATTTACAACCCATGCTTCACACCCATATGAGAGTCATATAAGAGTGTTGGTACCACTATATCCTCGTACATTCGCTGCTTTGCCTCCATGGATAACGTTCTTTGTCTCCACAGATACCTCAATGCACCACTCGCCTTTTTTTCATCATTTCTATGGTTAACCTCATCCTTCATAAACCCATCCGCTGACAAGTCAACTCCCAAATATCTGAAAACATTCACTTCTTCCATACTCCCTTCCTCCAATGTGATATACCAGTTTTTCTTTATCTAAATCATTTGATACCCTCATCACCTTAGTCTTATCTATGTTCACTTTCAACTTTCTACCTTTACACACCCTCTCCAACTCGTCCACTAGCCTTTTCAACTTTTCTTTAGAATCCCAGCACAGTATCATCAGCAAAAAGTAACTGTGTCAACTCTCATTTTTGTATTTGATTTTCCATAATTTAATCCCACCCCTCTCCCCAACACCCTAGCATTTACTTCTTTTACAATCCCATCTATAAATATGTTAAACAACCATGGTGACATTACACATCCCTGTCTAAGATCTACTTTTACTTGGAAGTATTCTCCCTCTCTCCTACACACCTATCTCCTCACTATCCTCATAAAAACTCTTTACAGCATTTAGTAACTTACTACCTATTCCATACACTTGCAACATCTGCCATATTGCTCCCCTGTCCACTCTATCATGTGCCTTTTCTAAATCCATAAATGCAATGAAGACTTCCCTACCTTTATCTAAATACTGTTCACATATATGCATCATGTAAACACCTGATATACACATTCCCTACCCATTCTAAAGCCTCCTTGCTCATCTGCAATCCTGCTCTCTGTCTTATGTCTAATTCTTTCTATAATAACTCTACCATACACTTTACCTGGTTACACTTACCCTAAAAATATTAAACAAATAATTATTATTTTACTGTATTTAATATTAACACCTAGTGCTTTCTGATATTCAGGCATGAAATGTAAAAATATAACCATTTTACTTTGGTTGCATTCTTGGAAATCTCAGTGCTAAACTTTTCATTCTTAACTATTTATAGAATAAAAACTCATTCTTAATTCAGTGGAACCTCGATTTTTGTATGCCCTAGTTATTCTCTATAAAATGTATTTTTTGTTAATATTTCCCATAAGAAATAATATAAATTCCAATTAATCCATTCAGACACCCAAAAATATTAATAAAAAATACATTTTATAGAGATAACTATAGTTTTACATACAAACTAGGGCATACGAAAACCGAGGTTCCTCTGTAATTTATAGAATAAATTCTTTAATTAGTAAAGAATGCAGTATTGTATATACATTGTATTGGTAACACTTGCTAAATGTAGGTCAGAGTGCTTTGTTGTTATGATGGCAGAAAGTCTGGAGGTTTAGTGTTGAGTAGGTGGAAGAGGATCATTTGTCTCTCCTGAGGAAGCAAATGATGGAAGATAACTCTTGTTTTGGAGTTGCTTAATTTAAAGGGCATTTTTTGGTTTGAAGTTTTTTTTATATATGCAGTATTTGGTTGTGAAGGTCAAATATTTTTTCTCTTATGCAGTTCCTAGCAGTGAAATACTCTCTCAATCTTCTCTCAAACTCTCAAGCTGCAACTTCAGTTTGGATCCAATTCTGTAATGCTTGCTATGGCTGACTATGAAGTTTAGTGTCTTCAACAACCTCTACTGAGTGCATTCACAAGGGACAGGTGTAGTTTCGGCTTTATCCACATCTGGTGATGCAGATAACTCTTGGTCATGCTGCATCAACTCATCATTGGAAAGGTATTCTCTCTCCTTAACTCCTCATTGGAAACATATTCTCTCTCCTCAGCTCCTCATTGAAAGGGTAATCTCTCTTCTCATCTCCTTATTTTGTGACACAGCAAATCAGCACTTATACAAAATACTTAAGTAATATGAGCACACTATCACAGAGCATGTTACAGAGGCTTTACATGCCAGAGGCGAGATAAAACTCATGGTTCTGATGAAGTGGAAGACTCGTACCAGAAAGTGGAAAGCCATTGTCTATCATGAACTCCTCTGTCAGTATACAACTTAACATAAATCAGCCTCCTCAGTATCTTCAAAACCAGTTTTTGTTGCCAGTTACACTAAGATTCTCTGATTTTCTGAAAGTGGCTTTTTGAATCATGAAAGTTGTTGATAATAATGGCCAGATTTTTTTCCTCCCAGAATTCACAGTGGCCTGCATCACTTCAGTTCATGGCTGAAAGATATCAGTGATGGTATCCATAATGCTGTACTCTTTGTCAGAATTAAGTTATTGATGTTTTTTATCTTAATGATCTTTTTTCTTTGATGATTTTGGAACATTTCTTTCTTGAATAATATAACTTAATGCAAGTATAACATCTGGATCCATTGGCTGAATCATTGCTGTCATATTCTTGGGAAGAAATGCTACCATTTCATGCTTGGACAATTTATCTAAAGTATCAAGATAGCCTGAAAAATGTTCAGTAAAAGCCATGCCTTGTTGGCAATGTTTTCCTTGCTTCAGTATGTTTCAACAGCTGGGCAAAAGATACATACCCAGTAGTAAATCAGTCTTGGGAAAAGATTGATTACCTTTCCTGGATATTGGATTTTCAGATTAATGCACTTTTTTTTTTTTTTTTTTATCATCACACTGGCCGATTCCCACCAAGGCAGGGTGGCCCGAAAAAGAAAAACTTTCACCATCATTCACTCCATCACTGTCTTGCCAGAAGGGTGCTTTACACTACAGTTTTTAAACTGCAACATTAACACCCCTCCTTCAGAGTGCAGGCACTGTACTTCCCATCTCCAGGACTCAAGTCCGGCCTGCCGGTTTCCCTGAACCCCTTCATAAATGTTACTTTGCTCACACTCCAACAGCACTTACTTTGTCTAAAGATTATAATCTGCAGCGGCATTGCCACCCACAGGATGTGTGAAGACAGTTCATTATAGGCTTGAACTTGGAGCATTTTTCTTCTCACTTGTTACAAAAGCTTTTGCTAGCATCTTTTTTCAATACAGCCCAATTTCATCAGCACTGAAAACCTGATGCATTGTGTAGCCACCTATTGTTGACATTAAATTATTGTGGAAATTGGTTGCTGCTTTTGTGTCTGCACTCTTGGCCTTTATTTTATATGTACATAGTTTAGTACAGTATTTTACATGCAACTACCATATATGTATCTTGTAAATCTGGACAAAACAGCCTCTCTTGGTGTTCAACCTTTCCACTTTTGTATTCTTGTAATAATGTTGGTAGAATTACCGACAGTATGTAAAGTAAAAGGACACAAGTGCAACTAATGTGACATTTTTATTGTGGCAATGTTCCGCTCTCCAGGAGCTTTGTCAAGCTGTAACATCTTGACAAAGCTCTTCGAGAGTGAAATGTTGCCACAATAAAAATGTCACATTAGTTGTACTTTAGGCATCAAAGCCCTATCTGGGGTTACTTCCTTTCTTTGTCTTTTACTGTCACTAGGACCAGCTTGAGAGTCACTGGACTATGCAGACACTGCTTGCAACAGCTTTGTTAGGGTGATATTTCTCCACCCACTTTTCCACATCCTAGCTACATGATATTTAATACGGCCCAGAGCCGTATTATTATTATCAACATACCATGTTCACTGA